TGAAAGACCCACAGTGCCCCCTGCTGGTGAAAAGCAAAAACATCAGATCAGTGTTGTCAGCTTGGCCCAAACGTGTGGGAGCTGCACGACTTCAAACCGCTTCAAACCTCTAACAACATGGGAGTCGCCCTCATCAACCTCGCGGCCACAGCAGGAGCACCAGCACAACAGCTTCCTCCAAGATTTCGTCTGAATCATGGGCGAGAGACACAGGAAGAGAGAATGAGACACGGAGAGATGGAGAGAAACCTGCATGGCCAGTGGGCAACTTCAATAAAAGACTTCTGATATTTCACAAGCTATAAAAATCAAGATCCTCCCACCGTGGCTGTTTGTCTGAGGGGGACACGGATGGCTATGGAGGAAGAAATTTAGAGCAGTAATTAATACTCCTAAGTGACTGCTGCTGGATGCGAGGCAGGGACCGGGTCTGTGAGCTGGTACTGTGTCCCCCAGCAACTTCCACGGTCTTGTGGGTTGGCATATAAGCAGAGGAGGAAATGGAGAAAGTACCCCCATTACTCGTTCATTTGTCTTCAGGGGCCTCTCCTGATCAGAGTCCCAGATGCTCTGCATCCACACACACACACACACACACACACACACACACACACACACACACACACACACACACACACACACACACACACACACACACACACACACACACACACACACACACACACACATACACACACACACACACACACACACACACACACACACACACACACATACACACACACACACACACACACACACACACACACACACACAAACACACACACACATTTACCAGTGAGCCTTCCTGATGTTAATCAAACGTTAAAGAAAGACATGAAATGCCACAAAAATGTCATCACTCCACCCCTGGCCCTTCCTACCCTCTTGTAAATATACACACATTTGCATGTGTGTGTGTGTGTGTGTGTGTGTGTGTGTGTGTGTGTGTGTGGCAGCTTGTTGTTTTTAGCCTTTGGGTCCCCGCTGCAGCACGGAGCAGCAGGGTGGTTCCTATAATCCCATCACTGTTGTCGTCATGAGGACCCGCAGGGTCCCGCCTGGAGGTGCGACATTTCTGGCATCCTCCAACTCTCCTTTACTCCCAGAGCCAGCAGCGCCGGAGCCAAAAAACAGACTCCCATTAGTCATGTGCTACTCTGACTCAAAGTGACTTACTGTATGAGCAGGTCTGGCTTGGAAAAGGAGGAAAAAACGTGTCCTGAAGGTGGCATTCAGTTTACTTGATGTTTTTAATGCCGTACATTCAGATTTTTTTAAATATATTCACTGTTTTATAAAAGTTTTGTGGCTAGTTTGTCACAGATTTAGCTTTTGTCTGTTTTGTTGAGTTTACAGGGATTTCTTTGGCGTTTGCATTCAGCAAAGCAGCAAAGAAATCGTCTTTAATTTCACATTCGCCATGCAGCGTTAATATTTCAGTAAAATATTGATTAAACGTGAGCTAAATCTACAGATTTTATTTCAAACTATGTATTTTTTAACCATGAGTTAATTCCTTTAAAAAGCAAGTTCATTAAAAAGTTGCTTTAACTTGTCATTTTTCAAATACGACCAGTTTCTCTGAGTTTCACGTGCAGGCTGAACATGAAAATAGTCTTCTACACCTATTTCCTGCATCGCACGCCAATAGAAAACAGACGGGGAATGTCTGATCTGGGATATGTTCTAATGTCACAAAATAACGATTAAGGCTCCAAATCCAGTCGTAGAATAACTTCTACTTCCTGAAACAGGAGCGCCAGAGATTTTTTTCCACAGAAACCGACTCACAGGGATTTTATTGATTCATTCTAGAAAAAACAGAAAAAAATATTTAAAAAAAACAGTAAGTGAGTGCGTTAAAGGTGTGGTTCACTTGTTTAATCAATGCATTTGCAGTGGTCTCTAGTAGGAGTGAACGCCTTGTAAGTTGTACTCTAGAGGGAAAAGGTTTAGATGCTCCTGAATCAGGAAGTACATGTCAGCTGGAGGAGAAAGTAGCTTCAGATGGCAGGATTTACAGTCTAACCCCTACTGCACATTGGAAGCATCAGCGGCGCGGAACGGCAGCAGAAAGGTTTACTTGCAACAATCGCTGCACTCCAGTACACACCGGGAGCATCTCAGCCATGAAGCGACTTCTCCGCTGTGCTCCTCCCTCGACTCGTGAGATCACAAAACCCCTAGGTTTTATGCCGTCTGCCATTAAACCAAACTGAAGGAAATCACGTTTGATATTGCTGCTTAATGTCATATGTGATGTTGTTCCTCTCCACTGCTAGGACTAAAGCCTTGAAAAACATACCACTGCACCTTTAGAACGATGCAGGGAGTGAATAAGCTGTTAGGTCACTTGCTTTGACGTAATCTTTATGGACATGAAGTTGTATCACTGTAATAGACTTTTATTTTGAAAATTATTGGGGGTTTTACACTGAAACTGTGTGTAATTTCCTGTCTAGTCCTGTGTTAACTGCAAAAATTGCTGCGTCCCAGAAGCGGCTTGCTAGCCTAGCGAACTAGACCAAATTCTTGCTTTGCAAAGTTTGCAAAAATAATACATTTATTTAGTCTGGCTTGCTAGCGGCTTGCAGCAAAAACAGAACATGATTCGATGTTTCTGGGACGTGACGGAGCATTGCCGCACCGCGGCTGTTTTGAATCACCGCCATGAACTCTAATGGATTCTTTTTGAAGCTGTGACGTTCCGCTGCCGATGGAGGAGTTCTGCTGTGTGGTGAAGTTGCTAATACTAACAGTCAGAGATGTTCTCTGCTGTTTCCTGAACGCTACACCGACGACAGCCTTCCCCCTCGTGAGTCAAGATGGGTGAGTCCATGACTGTTAACTGACAGACAGTGTGACGCAGATCTGTCAGGATTTTCTAATCCTAGAGTTTCTCTGCCTGTTTTCTATCAGAAATTCATGCAGGAGATAGGTGTAGGAGAAAAAGTTTATTTTTCTGTGTTCCACTCCTTTAAATATATTACACAAGTTTTATTTTTAATGAGTGAAACTGAAGCTACAGGCAGTGAGCTAACCCCATACATCTGTCTGTCTTCTCCTAAACCGTCAGGCTGCAGCCTGGCGCCTGTCCTCATGTCCGCCCTATGCTGAGGATCCAATCTAGCACCAATAAGCAGTTCCAGCAATCTGTGCTGACAGTCGACTGCTCACAACCAATCCTCCCCTGAGCTTCCATGTGTGCTTGCATTCAGTCAAAGAGCTTTCACAGGTCATAAAAGGTAAGAGAGGAGACAGGCGGGACTGCAGGCTTTGCATCCCGGCTAGACAAATAATTGTAACAGCATATTGTAAGCTACCAACGCCGCAGAAGGGATGTAGCTACCAGGACTGGGGCTGTGTTTATGGCTATGCCTGCACAGGAAGGCCCCACGGCACTATCGGTGACCCCCACTGTATTTTCTCACTAATTTCACCCCAGATTCGGTATCACGATGAGCACAAGAAAACTCCCACAGGCTACAGCTCGTCCCCGGCACTAGGGATCGTTGTCCTCAGCGCGCCTGAGCACAGACAGGATGTGGCAGCTTGGAGGCATTCAGTTAAAGGAGATGCATTTTAATGCTGCAGGCACGCATTTAAGGCGGCCTCGCCGGGGTAGAAGTGTATGACGTTGCTAGAGCTGATAAACAGCAACGGGGAAAAAAAGTAAGGTGGATGAGAAAAAAAAACACAGAGAATTAGTCCCATGTTGTTTTGTGGAATCTAATCATTTATGATAGTCCGTGTGCTCATTTTTATAATTAATTTGTTTTCCCAGACAGATTTTTTTCAACAAATTGGGTTTAAAAATATCATCTGCTCTTTTATATTAGCTGGATGGAATGAAAAGGAGCATTATGGATCCAACAGATAATGGATGGGCAACTTAGGCAATAAATGTCAAGTTAAAAGGGCAGCTGCTGCCATTAAGTTATTATTGACTTAGATTACAGTATCATACTTTCTTAAATTAGAGGATTTTTAGGATATGAGTTTTTATCTTTATTTATAAAATATAAATTAAGAATTTATGGAAACGGGAAGTTGTTAGTTAATTACTATTTTTTACCGGTTTCTTTGCACATTAAATTATTTTCAATTTTGATTGGGTAGAGGGAATCGTTGGCCTTTCTTCTTAAAACAAATAATAATAATAATAATAATAATAATAATCATCATCATCATCATCATCATAATAGGGGCTATGCAGTGGATAGAGCTGTTGCCTTGCAGCAAGAAGGTTCTGGGTTCGCTTCCCAGCCTGGGCTCCTTCTGCATGGAGTTAGCATGTTCTCCCTGTGCATGCGTGGGTTCTCTCCGGGATGCTTCGGGTGTGTGTGTGTGTGTGTGGGTGTGTGTGTGTGTGTGTGTGTGTGTGTGTGTGTGTGTGTGTGTGTGTGTGTGTGTGTGTAAGAGAGAGAGAGAGAGAGAGAGACAGTGTGCGTGTGCGTGCGTGCGTGCGTGCGTGTGTGTGTGTGTGTGTGTGTGTGTGTGTGTGTGTGTGTGTGTGTGTGTGTGTGTGTGTGTGTGTGTGTGTGTGTGTGTGTGTGTGTGTGCGTGATTGCTTGTCCTGTGTGTCTCTGTGTTGCCCTGTGATGGACTGGCTCTCTGTCCAGGGTGTACCCCGCCTGATTGCCCATTGACCGCTGGAGATAGGCACCAGCCCCCCCGCGACCCTGTGTGGACAAAGCGGGTTCAGACGATGAATGGATGGATGGATGGATGGATGGATGGATGGATGGATGGATGGATGGATAATAATAATATTATTGTTGTTGTTGTTGTCGTTGTTATATTTCAGGCTCAGATTTACATTCTTTCTTCTTTTATAGACAAATGTTTAAATATATATTGACATTAAGAAATGTTTTTGTCACTTACAAAAATGTAAATGATATTTTATTTTACCACATGTTCTAGTGAGACGCTACAGCTATATATTTGTTTTATTGGCTACATTATATGTCAGTCAACCTATTATGGGCGGGGCGTCCACATTTCAGCCAATCACATTAGTCAGTGATTGGCGTTCTCCTCCGTCAGTCACAAACATGGCGTTGCGAGAGTTAGCATCGCTAGAGAAATATTTGGGCCTTAGAAAACCAAATAAGTACAGCACACAGGGGGATAAAAAGGTAAAGCGGCTCGTTATTGTTTATCTGTGCTTTTTAATGAGTGTGTGCTTTTTTTATTTGAAAGGAAGCTTGTCAGTAGTGGTCCGCTGCGGTCTAGAAATGCTAACAAGCTAAGCATGCGGATCGAGTGGTCTGCTTTACTGTTGTGTCTCTTGTTTGTTTTTATCGGTGCCTTTAAAACTGAGCTGGTCTAACGTTTTAATATAACTCTGATATACACCCTTAATAGATGATATCTTAATTCTACAAGCAATAATTAAAGAGATACACTCTGTATGCAGAGGGGTGGAGTCAGCCGGCTGAGGAGTGGGTGTGCATGTTCAGATGCTTTACTAAACATCAACAGGAAAACATGGGATGATTAAGTAATATCGGATTTCTGCCTTATTTTGCCTATAAACAACACCTCTTTATCAACACATTGACTGTAAAATTAAAGTTTTGATCTCTCACTGAGCTCCATTTGTCACCCCTCCTCCTGTAGACCCCTGTGCTGCAGAATAATGCTGCTCCTCCGCTGCTGGGGCTGGTGACCATCGCTTGTCACCTGGTGAAAGAGGCCAAGCGCCCTGAGCTGCTGGGTGACTCGGCGGAAAGCAGGGCAGTGGTGCAGCAGTGGCTGGAGTACAGGGTGACCAAAGTCGACAACTGCTCAAAGGAAGACATCAAGATAATCCTGAAGGTATCTGATGTTCAAGTAAATCTAAAAGAAGCTGTGTGTGTGTGTGTGTGTGTGTGTGTGTGTGTGTGTGTTTCCCGTGGTAAGGCACTTGCGACAGAAACACAGACTGATGTAAGGCCCTTCAGTGACATGGCCCCACGCGACAGAGACAACGGCTTTAATGCGCCTGCCGCCACTCAGCATGAAATGGATCGTCAGCCTCTCGTCTGCCGGACGCTCGGCGCCTCTTGGCACTGTCCTGTCAGCGTGAAGCGTTTGTTTACATGTGTGTGTGCACGCCTCACAGCGTGACATGCTTTTGTGGCATGGCTGAGGAGTCATGCTGCTTTGCAGCATGTTATCTGGACAGGCCTTTTAAATGTTTTAATGGTGCCACTTACAGAAGGAAGTCGCCCTGAGCGCCTCGGCTCTGGTGCCCGATGGCCCCCTGTCCCGTCTCGCCGCTTTAGCTGCGTCCTTAACTCGACTCTCTCGAGCTCTCTAGTCGTCTCCCATTAAATTATTCAGAAGAAGAAAGTGTGGACAACAGGAGCTCTTAAACTTTCACCCCTTAGGATGTCAACGAGATTTATAAAGCTGAAACTTATTTGAAAAATAAACAATAATAAATAAGAATAACCCTGATTTAAAAATAAATCTATCTATCTATCTATCTGTCTGTCTGTCTGTCTGTCTATCTGTCTGTCTGTCTGTCTGTCTGTCTGTCTGTCTGTCTATCATCTATCTATCTATCTATCTATCTATTATCATCTATCTGTTATCTATCTATTATCATCTATTATTATCCATCTATTATCATCTATCTATTATCTATCTATTATCATCTATCTATTATCTATCTATTATCATCTATCTGTTATCTATCTATTATCATCTATCTATTATCTATCTATTATCATCTATCTGTTATCTATCTATTATCATCTATCTATCTATCTATTATCATCTATCTGTTATCTATCTATTATCATCTATCTATCTATCTATCTATTATCATCTATCTATTATCTATCTATTATCATCTATCTGTTATCTATCTATTATCATCTATCTATTATCTATCTATTATCATCTATCTGTTATCTATCTATTATCATCTATCTATCTATCTATTATCATCTATCTGTTATCTATCTATTATCATCTATCTATCTATCTATCTATTATCATCTATCTATTATCTATCTGTTATCATCTATTATCTATCTATTATCATCTATCTATCTATCTATCTATCTATCTATCTATCTATTATCATCTATCTATTATCATCTATTATCTATCTATTATCATCTATCTATCTATCTATCTATCTATCTATCTATTATCATCTATCTATTATCATCTATTATCATCTATCTGTTATCTATCTATTATCTATCTATTATCTATCTATTATCATCTATCTATTATCATCTATTATCATCTATCTATTATCATCTATTATCTATCTATTATCATCTATCTATCTTTCTATCTATTATCTATCTATCTATCTATCTATCTATCTATCTATCTATCTATTATCATCTATTATCTATCTATTATCATCTATCTATCTTTCTATCTATTATCTATCTATCTTTCTATCTATCTATTATCTATCTATCTATATCTATCTGTCTATCTATCTATCTATCATCTATCTATCTATCTATGTCATCTATCTATCATTATCTATCTATCTATCATCTATCTATCTATCATCTATCTATCTATTATCTATCTTATCTATCCTTGTCATCTATCTATCATTATCTATCTATCTATCTATCTATCTATCTATCTATCTATCTATCTATCTATCTATCTATCTATCTATCTATCTATCTATCATCTATCTATCTATCATCTATCTATCTATCTATCTATCTATCTACAGTATGTCATCTATCTATCATCTATCCATCTATCTATCTATCTATCTATCTATCTATCTATCTATCTATCTATCTATCTATCTATCTATCTATCTATATATCTATCTATCTGTCTATCTATCATTGCAGAAAGAAGAGATGGACAAAATACAGTTGCATTCCTTATAGTAATGACCTTTTTATCCTCGCCTTCGCCTCGTATTTTGCTGCTTTGACACATTTTTTGCTGATATTTTAGCTTTTTCATCAACTGTAGGAAAAATATTCTGCTAGTGTTTATTTATTTTTTTGTTTGTTTTTATTCCTGGAGATCATCTCAAGCCCTAAAACTTAATGTTTCTTAACCCACAGTCAATATGTTATTGAGTACTTGTGCTTTTCAGTCTTTTTTCCTGCATGACTGTAAAAAAAAACTTTTTGCATGTCGTAATCTCTGAGAGGGTTTGGACCAAAACACCTCTTGTGCAAAAAGTGTGAATTCTTGTTAATGGAGGCGGTTTTATCTGAAGGTTTTAGCTAGGTGAATAATCAGTTTAGGTAGACGAGAGCCCAAGTTTGAGCTCCATGTGCTAGGTGGTGATGATGAGGGGGTAGGGGGCAGGAGAGCTGCCTCTCTGTTGCACGACTGGGCTTTAGCTCTATGGCTGTAGGCTAAGAAAGGCAAGAATCTGATTGTTGAAGGGAAGGAAGTCTGCAGTCTTCATGCCTTGTTTGGCATCACCCACTCCTGCTGCACCATAGCTCCATTTGCCCTGCAGATGCTTCTGTGAGTGTGTGTGGAGAGCTTTCCCCTTCGTGCGATGTACAAGTGCTAAAGATGGTCCCCTTCCCTTGGGACCAGCACTTCCATGCACGACTTTACAGACACAGACTGGCTGAGAAGCAAACCAACGGCTGCCTGGGTTTCAGATGGCTTCATTAGATTTGTGAGCAGGAGTTGTGAAGTAAACAAATCGCTCGTTTTGTTCGGCATCTGTGCTAAGTCTCCAGTCATGAAGAGAGACAACCCCCCCTCCCTGGTTACATATTAATCCCATCCACCCCACAGACATGAGGTGGTTATTTATGACAGACTAGCATGAAAGAACATTTTTAGAGCTGTTTTGGAAGTAAACTTGTCAAATAATGACGCCTGTACCCTTAAGACAGGGGTGCCCAATCCTGGTCCTGGAGGGCCGGTATCCAGCAGGTTTTGTGGCTTTTCTGCTCCAACACACTTGATTAAATGGTTGAATCACCTGTGCAGCATCTCATCAGGCTCTGCAGAAGCCTATTGATCGCCTGCTGATTGAAATCAGGTGGGTTGAAGCAGAATTAAAACTAAAACACGCTGGATACCGGCCCTCGAGGACCAGGATTGGGCACCCCTGCCTTAAGAGGAGCTTCATTCGTGAAGATAAGCGTGTTTACACATAAACCTTTACCATGATGATGCACAGATGAACGTGCTTGGATCTCATTTTCATAAACTTCTATTGGTAATTTACACTTTTCAGGACCTGAACCTCTACCTGCACGACCGAGTCTTCCTAGCGGGGAACCGTTTCACCGTAGCTGATGTTCTGATGTACTACGGATTACATCCACTCATAGTGAGTTCCTTTCATTCTTACTGCACCTTTTCCCATCTTTTTATGCTCCATTTCTGTGGATCAATTTGTGAATCCAGTGTGGTTTTTGAGCTCTTTTACAAACTTTAGCAGAAGACTTTTACACCAACTATGAGCCTAGCAGGCCGTCCTGTATGTATAAGTATATGGTCTGGCCACGACCCATAGACAGAACTCTAACTCTAAGTCTAACCAGTACAGACCCAAATACCAATATCTTGCAAATACTGACAGCAAGAATTATACAGTGGCATTTATAACAAATAAATGCAAATAAATTGATGTTCACAAAATGTTGCATAACATTTATTGAGTCGTGTCAAGGTGCTGTAGGAGAGTACACTAGCACCGTGTCCTCAGAGAGGTTAGTTATTATTTATCAGCGTGAGGAACTTATTTCTACCTTATTTATAAACTATTTATTTACAAGTCCATCAGTTAATGTAATAATTGTCTCAACCACAGTTGCACCCCCCCACCCTGGTCTCACAGCAATCAGAGGCAAGCTGCACGTGTGTTTAGCACGCCGCACGCGCACATTTAGCTGTTTTTATCGGCTCAGGAGCCCGCAGGTGCGATGTGTGTGTCACTCACTCTGGTTAATCCAACAGGGAGCCGACTCTGAGAGCCGTTTCTTTAGCGACTGACTCGTCACTACATCATTCCTTTTCCTAATGTCCTGAAGAACGGTCCGGAGCACAGGCGGAGTGTTTAGCTGACCTGCAGGAAATGTCGACGACGGTTATCCAGAAAGTAGCTAAGGGTTACCAGAGATGTTTCTGAGATGTTCGCTAGGTACTTTTAAGATTTAAAAAGTCAAGAAGGGGATCTGAAAAGCTGCTAGAAATAGCATCAAAGTCGCTAAGTTGGCAACTGTGAGGAGCGCTTCACTTGCAACTCAGGGCAGCGCAAGTGGGAGGAGCAAATAATCGGCTTGTTTTGTTTTTATAATCGTTCAAAACTCAGATCGTAATCGTGATTAAAATTCATTAGTTGAGCAGCCCTAGAATCTGCTATTGTCTGACTAACCTTCTCCACACGCAATTGGACAGCGCTACGACTAATAAGCAACATCCGTAGCATCGTAGCGACGGCAGTAAGCCCATGGGACAGTCCACCATACACCGTCATAGAAGTAAATGAAGAAGAAGCAAATGCATTCTTTTTTTTTTAAATGAAGGACTTAAGTACCTCTATCGGCTTACGTCACAAAGTCTGAGTTGACCGAAGTTGATGCCAAAGCCGTTTCGAGCGAGCGCCATTCCTGGGCAGCCACCATCATCATTGTTTTGCTCTGCCGCAGCTCTGCCGGGGCTAAGCCCGCCTAACATCCCCCTTCGATTAACGAAGGGTATGACTGACCCAGGCTAAACTTAGCCAAGCCAGCCGTATACCTGCTGAGGCTACATGGGTGTGCTACTAGATCAGGGGTAGGAAACCCTGGTCCTTGAGAGCCTGCATGTTTTCCAGCCATGCATCAACCTGCAGCTTCTAATTGGCTGAACACACCTGATCCAGGTTAACAGGAACTACAAAGATGGTTGGAAAACAAGCAGGACTGCAGCTCTCCAGGACCAGGCTTGCCTACCCCTGGACTAGATTAGCCTACAGAGCAGAATCTTTTACTACCGCGATGTTTTGTCTAGAATTGTAGGCTAGCTGGATTTCACACTCGGGACTAAAGCCTGGTTTATGCTTCTCCGTCAGCTCCGCAAGGGACAGACACGCACGGATTGACGGAAGCGTTTTACTCTCGTACTTCTCCGTCTCCTGGAGAGTGTTGCAAAGCAATTGCCCGGCAGGACAACAGAGGGCGTAGCGCTGTTCTGTGGTATCCTGTCATGTATCGGTCCAAGATCGTGTGTTTATATTGTGTTTTTTTTGTGTATATAAGAGACTTTTAACACGGACATATTTGTCTCTCATTCTCCCACCGCTTCATGCGCTCCCCACCTCTAAACCCACGTTTCCTGTCATTTCCGTCCACAAATAAAACGCTTGCTGCACATCTTTCCACTCCTCCAGACACGGGAGGATGAAACGTTCATATTTTTAGAGTTTTTTCGCGAGGTATTCTTCAAGCTTCTCCGTGTCTGCCGCTAGTTATCCTCGGCTCTCTTTGCAATGGCAGCGCTGTAAACAGCAGCGGCGTCCTGACCAATCACAAGCTTGCGTAATCCGTCTCGTTCGACGGATGTTTAAAAATGTGGGCTCGACTCCGTACGTACTTGCGGGCCTGCCGGATCCCTACGCAAGGACGTTGCGTGTCTCCGCACTGACGCAGACGGAGAAGCATAAACCAGGCTTAAGTTGGATAAACGTATCGTGTCTGTCACGTGTGCTTCGAGGTGAATGTTTCTTTAATGTCCCATCACTACTGTCCATCCTTCTATCCAGCATACTTTTTAAAATCCTTTTTCATTTCCCATCAGCTCCCATTTAGTCAAACCGCAACTCGAATCATCAATTTGTCATAGAATATGACACACGATTAGACCAGTCACATGGCCAAAGGACACGAGAACAAACTGGCAATGAGCACACGCATTATACGCATGTTCTCAGTCCTCTTCAGACAGATAAAGTGATGTGGCACAAAGTGACGGCTTAAGCCTCCGACCAGTAAGTTTGTTCCGCCTTGCGGGATTAAAGAAAGAGGAGTTCAGAAACGGGAAGCGGAATGGGACGGAGGGAGAGAGGATCACATGTTGGGAGATGTCAGCGGTTGTGGCGGGGAAGGAAGCTCGGCCCTGGCCACCAGGCAGAGGAGCGTCACTTTGATTTGCTGTCAGTGTGTGTTTTAACCTCGGGGACAGCGGGTCAGCTAGCCCAACCCCTGACCTCGGTCTGCACGGATGTTCAATTCATGAAAATCAACTTCACACAAACTAAACCAGCCGAAGCCGAGAGGCTGAAAAGCAGTAATGAGTGTTATTAGACCTGGACAGATTCCTGTTAACGGACTCCTTTATTGTGCATCTTTATTTAGTCAGAAAAACAGAAAACATTCCTAAATAAGGCCGATTTTTTTTAAACAAGTGCAGCCGTTTTGCTTGATTAAGTCCACTTTTTAATAGTCGTTTTGTATGATGTAGTTTTTATATAATGCGGAGCACTGGTTTAAAAATAACTAGCTTAATAAATAAAATGTATTTATTTCAATAGAAATGAAAACAGAGTATTATCCCCTCAGCGTTTTTCCTTCAACATTCAGGTGCGTCTGTTTATGTCCTTCGTCCCCAGGTGGACCTGACCGTCCAGGAGAAGGAGCAGTTTACCAACGTCTCTCGCTGGTTCGACCACATCCAGCACCACCCTGGTGTCCGACACCACCTCCCTCCGGTAGCTGTGCTCAGGAACAGAATTTACACCAGCAGACACCACTGACACCCTCCAAAATACTCAACCAGACGTGGTACGACTCTTCTGCCCTTCAGACCGGACCTGGGCTTCAACCCTCATCGCATCTTCATCACAAGTGTAGATTATTTCCATATGAGTCTTTTATTCTGTAACTCATGATTCAGGTGTGCTAACGCTAAAGGGTGTCTGGTATCTCGATACCGTCTGGTGCAACACTCTGTGTGTTTATGTTGTTTTATATTTGTTGGATGTTTTCAAAGGGAAATCGTTGTGAGTGGTGCAGCTCAGTAGAAGGGTGTTTCTGTTTGTAAGAGATTATTTAATCTGAGCCTTGAACGTGCTGCGACAGGTAGCAGTGCACAATGTTCCAGGGAACAGCTCCCTACATGTCTCTAGTGCTGGTGCTGCTGGTATCAGCAGTCTGTTTTAGTCCCGTGAAGGCCACCAAGGCCATGTTGCTCTGATTCTGCAATTTTATCCCATTAAACCTCAGGCTCCGTTCAGTTCTCTGATTATTGTTGTGCTTGAATATTTTCTTGTGAATCTGGTATTTTTACTGGTTGTTTTAGCTTCCTTGCGCGTTTACATCCCCGTTCCACTTCCTCGCCACCAGTTGTGTGGGCAGCGGCGAGCGGCCGAACGTCAGCCTCAGAGTCAGAGATCAGAGTGAGGCTCCAATCAGTCCCACTACCACCACTGTTGATGCTGCAGGCCACGGAGAGGGCAGCGGGCTCACCAGCTGCCACACAGATCCAGCCAGCCAAGGCCAGAACCCGGGCCCCTGGGCGACAGCCAGCCACTGTGTGTCATTTCACCCTCGCGCTCCCACGGGGCTACTGAAGGGAGAAGGACGAAGGGAGGCAGCGAGTGAGGGAGGGATGAAGGGATGGAGGCCATGCAGAAAAAGAGCACCCAGAGGCCGAAGGATCTTTTTGTGGCATGTGAACAATGATCTGTGCCGCGGAAAGCCTGACCGCTGCTGGCTGCATGTTAGCTATTAGCACCTTTAACATGCCAAATCAAGCCAGCATGCTAACGAATGGAAGTAATGAGAAATGGAGAAGTAAGGTACGATTGGAGGAGCGATTCACACCTGTTGATCACAGCCTTCAACACTTCTTTACAGGCTTTAGTAACTTAATCCAGTTTTTAAACTAGCATTTCTGCCATGTTTTTCTCTTCCTGGTTACGATCTTGGCATATTAAAACAGTTGCTTAAAGCTGTGGTTTCGCTGTCTGATCCAGGCATGACATTCATCCTGTGCCAATAAATCAAAGAGATACAGAGCTCGTGACCTTTGACTCCTCTGCTGATTCTTAAAAAAAATGAGCCAGAAGACAGAGCTATTGTTCGGTAAAGTTGTGTGTTCGTAGGACGTGCTGCAAAGTAGATGCGAAGGATAAAAAGAGCTCACAGTCATTTGAGCTGGTCTTGTGACTAGATGGGGCCATCAGCGCTGAGGTCTACCATTAAAGAAGGCCTTGTCCTTGCGGTTGTACCAGCGTTCCGCAATTCTGCTCCCAGGGCACAGCAGCGGAGGTACCAAAGTCGAGGTGGAAACGAGGTTCAGCCTCTTAAAGCAGCAATTAGAGAAATGGTGTTGATGCAAATTTTTATTCTGAGTTTAAAGAGCAGGTTCGCTGAGAAATGGTCTTTTTTTTTTACACGTTATGTTTGAAATGTGATCGGTCAGTCTGCCTTTCACCTGCCTGCAGAACATGAAAATGGTATTCTACCCCTATTTCCTGTGTTTGCTGCCAAAAGGAGATAGATGGGGAAACGCTTTGGTGAGAAAAAGCCAGTCAGATCTACGGCGCACTGAAATTAGCATCCATGAGCTCACTTGGCTAGCGACCGTGGGAGGCCGTTGATTTTTGCAGCCAGGAGAGAGCAGAGCACATTTCAGCTAACAGAAGCTAACTGTTAGCACTAGCGACTCCACAACACTGCTGGACATCTTCAGACTTTGTGGAGATAAAACATCAACATTAAAGAACAAAGGCAGTGCAAGAGTTGTGTTGATGTTAGGCAATCAGAAAGCAAGATGTCCCGAATATGTGAATAATAATGAATAACCCTTTTTCCACCGGATGTGAAAGCAAAGGCTCTACGCGGCGACAAGCTGCCGCTATAGTGGACCACTTCCTTTCAAAGTAACATTTTGGATGCATCCCAGAAGCCAAGGGCTATTCTCTACGCCTCCAAAAAAAACCCATCAAACTATGCAGTTTAGATCAGACCAGACAGGAAGTCACACATGAAAGCAGCGTAAAACATCTGGAAACTTTCAAAATAAAAGTCACGTTCAGATGAGCGTACGTAATTTCCTGTGAAACCCTCCTAACCGATAAAACAGAAAATAAACCGAACCCTTTTGGATACATACAGCTGTCTTTCTCCTTGGTTGTTATTGTGTGGACTTCTGAAATCACGCGTGGTGTTGCGATCTCCCGTGGTTTGGAGACTTTGCTGGACCAGTGGCGTGGAACGCTTTCGCTCCCGTTTCGCATCTGAATGGCTCACAAGGCATTCAGTCATGCATACTGAAGACCACAGCTTTTTTGCTGATATTTTTCCGGAACTGCGCTGCTCTGGGTGGCTGCATGTTGGAGTAGCTCTGTTGACCATATGTAAGTTTTTCCTTTTCTTTAGCATTTTTTTCTTCTAGTTTATCAAGAAAAACTATATTTTTTGGACACTTTACTTTTCTGTTTCTGGTGCTGTGAAGCTTGGAGGATTTTTACTGCTATTTTTTAGCTTTTTTCACTTTTTGAGCATTTGTTATGATGCGTAACCATGGCAACAAGCAGTTTACAATCAGGAGCAGCTGATTAACATGGGAAAGGCTGACATAATACCTCAACTGAAGCCACAAATCCCAAATGAGCTAAAACTTAAGCGTGGGTGCAGAGCGGGAGCAAAACGGAGACAGGGAAAGAGGAAATTCAAACCATCTTTTCCATCGATCATAATGGGCAATGAGAGATCACTGGCCAACACGATGGAGGAACTCCAAGCCCTTTCAAGGACTCAGCCAGAGTTTTGGCAGTTTTGGAACCGCTGGAGGAGATAATGCAAAGAAGGATTCTCCAGAGAATCAAGAAAATTATGGACAACCCTGAGCATTCTCTTCACAAGACTGTCCGACAACGGAAGAGTGTCTTCAGTCAGAGGCTTCTTCAGTTTCGCTGCAACGCTGACCGCTACTGGAGATCCTTCCTGCCAACAGCCATTGTAATATACAATAACTCTTTGATGACTTGATTATTATTATTATTCTGAGCTACTACAGCATTCAATTTCCCTCAGGGATTAATAAAGTATTTTTGAATTGAATAGAATTGAATTACTGACACAAACTCAGTCTCTTTTGTGGCTCATCAACACAGTCAGGTTCATCTCTAATCAAACACAAGTGGAGTCAAAGTCACGAGGCCGCAGCAGGAAACCAGGACAAGCATCAATTAGGGATGACCTTCACACCTAATGTGACTGCAAATGGGAGAACCTCTGCAGGCGGTGTCCCAGGTCAACTCGCTCAAGTCTCAAACATCGCTCCAACTGGGCACCAGCCAACTGTCAGCGAAAGTAAGGAGGCTTTAGCTTGATGGATGGTGATGAAGTCATGAGCGTCGTTTTATAAAACGGTTAAAATGACTGCCGGCATCATGTTTACACATCGGATCAGCTTCCAAAACATAACTGGAAAAATGTCTTGTTTCAGTAGAGTTGAGACATTATCAAATGTAAATGAACAGAATGGCTCCCGTGAAATATAGACGAGCACACTTTAAAGGACTTCAGACAGGCAAAAAGAAACAAGGGAACATTGTTATCAACTAACTTGAGGAGTTTATCCCACACAGATTTATTATTTTCAATGAAAATGTGGAAATTGCTACTTTGTCGATCAACAGTCTAGCAGTAAGATTCCATAAAGCTACAAATGTATTTATTATGTGTAAGAAATTAAAATGTAAAATTACTGGCTTTATTCTGAGTCAACAGCTGCAGGATTCCTCCTGATGTTACTGAGGTTTTACCTCTTCATCGTCTCCCAACATCTTCGTCAAGATAAGTCGCCCAACAGTCTTAGATGGCTAGCCGCCGCCTCCTACACGGCAACGATGGCTCAGTCGCCACCATCCTTCATTAATTCTTATTAACAACGTAAGGCTGAGGGAAAGGCATCAGCCCTGACATCTGCTCACAACAGGCCTTTGCAGCTCCTTCTGACTGATTCAGAGGAACAATCAACACCGCGTGGTGGTGAGGGAGCGTTAACATGTTGTAAACTCTTCTGACAGGACTTATCGACCACGCGTTATCGTGCCCTTACACGTTGTGACAGTTGTACCATGCGCCTATAAAGATGGCATCTGATTGTCTATTGCAATTATGTGAGTGCGTGAGCTAGAATGCGGCAATGAAGGGCAAAAGAAGGGAGAGGGGATGGGGCGAGCGTTTTTCACAGGGTTGTTTCCTTATAAAACTTATTCTTGTAGACATGAAGGAGAAATGCACGTCTACTACACGAGGAGTGAGGACACTGTGTGTTTGCAGGCCGTAGTTGTGATAAGCAAACGGTCACAGAAGGAAAAATTGTGCCATTCTTCATCCTCCCTCTACTTTGCACATCCTATAAAACTAAAACATGCATGCATGCATGCAATTTTGTTTTCATACGTGAACGTGTCTCTCGCTCACAAGTTTTTCCCAATGAATGCACACCCTGGGGGCAAAGCAGCAGATGGCAGTTACAAGAACAAACTCCAAAAATAAACACATTTTAATCACTTGGAGATTTTCTTTGAGTCAATATTTAAAGTGATTTAAGCACAGGATATATACAGTATATATATATATATATATATATATATATATATATATATATATATATATATATATATATATTATATAGTATATATATATATATATATATATATATATATATATATATATGTATATTTATATATACTGTATATATGTGTGTAAAAGAGTTAATTTACATCTAATTAAGGACCCGTGAGACATAAGATTCCATAGTAAATATGAAATCAATCTTATGGATCTTTGGGTACTTTTAACCAGAAGATTGGAACTTTTTATTGCAGGGATTATGTAACACTTCGTATTAACTGAGAGACAAGAGAAGAGAGAGTCACCTTTAAAACGTTTAAGAAGATTTATTTCTAAACAATTTTAAACAAGACTAACTCTAAACTCTAAGTGATGAATGGATCTGGTGTAATGAGACGTGAGATGAATGGTGTATGTGTGAGTGATGTTGTAATCAGAACTCTCGTATCCGGAGAAGCAAGTCTGAGTGATGTTTTGATGTTTTGCTTCCAGCTGTGATCAGAGTTTGATCGGAGTTTCATAAACACATGAGACGCCATTTTGTCACTCTACACATACCCTTCAGGATGAGACCTTCGTACAGATCCAGAATGCCAGGTCCTCGGACCCCCCTTTCGGTACCGGAGCCGATGAAACAGCGTCAGCAGCACA